GCACATATACTTGTTTATCTATCTACATATGCATATACATTCATATACAAATAGACGATTGTATGTATGTATTCACACATGTTTATTTAATTGCTTATGTATATACAGAAAGGAAGAAAGAGAGAGGGGCAGTGGAGAAAAACTGGATTTCAAAGAATTGTATTGAGTATTGGGCAAAAAAGACCTTTGCTCACCGTTCTGCCACCCCGATGAACCTGTGTTAATCTTTCGCCTGTATCTCCGTGACAAACATCCTCAGAACAAGATTGCAAGATAGAGCAAAAATACACTGAACCAAGAGAAAAATGGTAAGAAGTATGGATTCTTGCTTTGATGATGTCTGTCACGTAGGTACAGATGAAAGCCTAGCACAGGTCGATTAAGGTGACAGGACACTGAGCCGATGACTTGTTCGCATAATAAAGCAGTCTTCCCTACGCAGAAAATACTCCTCCGGTTTCCAGTGAGACCCCATCACGAATTCCATATATGCATATATGTAGACAGATACATAATTAATATGTGTATATATTTTTTAAAATAAATACATATAAATATGAAGTGAATTTGCATTTTAAAGGGAGATTTGGTGATGCGGAATTCGTGATGGGGTCTCACGGGAAACCGAAGAAGGATTTTCCGCATATTTATTTATTTTAAGAATATATATGTGCATATAAGAATATAAACATATATTTATTTAACAAAAAAAATAAATAAATATATGCAGCTATAGAAGAAGGAGCTTACCTTCATCGAGGTCGCCTCGTGCCGCCGCCTCCAAAAGGATGAGACTCTGCGCGAATCGAACCTTCTTGGCGGGTTCACCGCGGCCAGTGCCGGTCTCGGGCGCCAATCCCTTGCGCTGTTTGCGTAGCTCCTCTTTCTCTTTCAGTTTGTCGTACTGATGCCAACGCTTGAGCTGCTGGACTCGCTTCTTCTTGGCGTTGCGTATCCTCTCCAGATCGGGCACTCGAATTAGGCCCGGCTCGCCGAGCAGCTCGACGGCCTGGCTGGCCGGCTGGGCCTGGGCCTGGGACGCCGGCTGACCCAACAGCAACGACTGGCCCTGAAGACCTGTCATGGCGAGTCCCCCTGGCGACGAGTTGCCAGCGCTACCGGTCGCCGGGGCGGCCAGCACAGGCCTGGACGGCTGGCCGGCGGAGAACGGCTCCGGTTGTGGCGAAGACACCTGAGGCCCGTTCAACATGCCCATCCCGAGGTCCCCGAGGCCGGGGTCCATGCCCGTCAGAGCAGCGAGGGCTGTGTCTGTGCAGAGTGAGGAGGCGGCAACCAGAAGGGTCTGTGGGTTCAGGCAACTCGACAGGTGAAAGAGCTGAAGAGACACGAAGGCAGCAACAAATCACTGGCTAGCACAAATGAAAACAAACGCATCAGAAGATATGAAGACCCTTTTGCGGTCACAGTTTCCTTTCGTTGTACGCAAGTGGTTTGAACT